GATAAACATTTTACCACCTTCATTCTCTTCTCGTTAGGACCAGCTAGAGACCACGCCAGTTTTTATAGTTCCCCATTTGATTTATCTCAATTTTGCTTTCTCGCAAATACTCCTCGATCTCCAACTGCGATTATTCTTTCTTTGCGCGTATCGCTTTGAACTGGATTTCGTGTCTCCTCAGTCCTGAAATATTTCTACTTATAAGGCCTTTCTAAAAACTTCCCTTTCTATCATTCCCTTCTCTAATTCTGTTTCTTTCGAAATCTTCTTTGACCTTTTCAACACAGTTTGTTGACTTCACCTTTCTAAAGGCAACTTTAATATTTGAAACGCTGAGAACTAGAACGACCGAAGCCACGAGAACGAAATTTTGCAAGAGAGCAAAAACAAAGTTTACAGAGGGCGTCAAGGCACATGTTAGTAAGAGAAATGCACTGAGTCACTGCAGTGTCATCTGTAGCCTAATCAGCATTTTACATGAAGTGGAGCTATATGCGTGTTTGAATTACGAGAAAAAGCGAAAGCTTTTTTTAAAAAATGTGACTTATGAGTATACCATTCTCAATGCTTCATCTGTTTGTCATTATATTGCCATGTCCAAAATATATAATTTTCTTTTTCTTCTTGCTTCCGCTATTTTTCGGTGTTGTTGTTGACGGTGGCGCCCGCACTTGTGGGCGGCGCGGCGTTGGGCGGAGGTGCGCGCGGAGGCGGCGAGCGGCGAGCGCCGCGAAGCTGGCTCGGGCGACTCGCGAGGGGCGAGACGAGGCCAACACAACTTACGACGACGAGGGGAAGGCCGAGCGTGCCGGAAACGCGCGTCGTGCCAAACCATGTCCTCGCCGGTGTTCCCGAGCACGGCGGCGCGGCGGTTTCCTGCGGGGAGACCGACCAGCATCACACGGCGAACTGCCCCAGCCCGGGCGGTCAGCCCGACGCGCGCGCCGCCCGCTGCGCCGCGCCCGCCCTGCCGACGACACACCGCGCACCTGGCCCACGTCGCCATCCTGTACCGGCACATCTGTCCCACGCCCGTGCTGTGCCGTGCGCCCACGCGCCTCGGCGGCCCGCCGCCCCACCCGACGACGGAGGCCTGCTGCAGCGGTCGCGCCTTACACGCAAGTACGCGAGGTCACCCCTGTCGCCACGCCCGTCTTCTCACGGAGGTGGAGCCCGCGCGTCACGATCTGCCACCAGCCAGGTACGCGCTGATTATAACGCCATTAGATGATTACACACTCTGGGGTAACGGTCTGTTATTGAACGGTATTGTATGGACTGTTATGAACGAGTCGTGGGTGTATCACGTGCATTTTTAAGTGAAAGAGTCTTCGTAGCCTTCCTTGAAA